ATACAGGGTGTCCCGGAACTCTCTGCCAATATTTTAGGTCTATGTTCCAGAGTAAGAAACATATCTAAATATCATGTTTAAATTGTCTGGAAGTCCTAAGTTACATAGCTGCCATTTTGTTGTTTTCAATTATAACTTTTTTTTAAGGTTGAAGTTAAAAAATTGTAACTTTGCACAAACATTTATGACAACTATACAAAGCTACAAAAAATTTTTGATAATTTTTCAAATTCATAAAACAAAATGGGGACCATTTAATTTTTTTCAACGGGTTTTGAGTTATATAAGAAACATTTAAAATAGCCGCAAATTTGTTTTATGAATTTGAAAAATTATCATAAAATTGTTGTAGCTTTGTATAGTTGTCATAAACCGTGTGTGCAAAGTTTCAATTTCATATCATTAACCACTTAAAAAAATAATAAGTAAAAAAAACGAAATGGCGGCTCTGTTAGTAACTAAGGACTCCCGGACAGTTTTAATGAGATATTTATATATGTTTCTTACTCAGGAACAATGTCCTAAAATATCGTTAGAGAATTCCGGGACACCCTGTATACACATCGTTGTGTTATGTTACATGTGCAATGTCAACCAGTATGTCATTGTTACAACACGTGTATCAACGTAGTCACTTATGTATATGTTACAGTCGTGGACACAAAAACACAATGTGTTTCATGTTCACATATCTATGTCAGAAGTACGATATGTCAACAGTTAATATGTCAATGTTACATTACAGTCTGTGCAATATGTCTAAACTACTCCAATATACCCTGTCACATGTGCAATGTATCAATCCAATATATTTATTGCAGGATGTGTAGCCGTTGCAACAGCCGACCCTATCAGTATCGCTTCTGGATCCAGACCAACGGTATGTATTTGCCATTTGGTACCCAATCCATTTATTAGTTAGTAGAAAATTAATTTTTTATAGCATTTTGTTATTTAAAAGTTAGTTTGGGTATTTATTGAGTTTTTAGGGAATCTGGCTCAATAATAAAAAAAAGTTATATCAATGCATAAACTTATCTATTTCATGTTTACTGTATTTATATCATTTTGTTCCCAATCTGATAAAAAGTCCAGGTTGTAGAAGACACAATGTTATCAAACGATCAAAAACTCACCGTGACAACTGCAAGCAAATTGAATTAATGTGTATTTTGTGTTAATTTGGTAATTCTCTTTTGGATCAAGTAATTCACCTTGATTACTTCATTCCAACAGAATACTAAATTCCGTCAGGCACTGTAGCCAAATTCATTAAACTAATTGCTGCCACCCGTTTAAAACTGTGTTTCTAGATTTTTTTTAAGAAATTTCCTAGTTAAATTTTAGTCTAGTGTATTTAATCGATGCAGTTGTTAAAATATTAATTATGTGTTAATGTGTTGTATATAAGATTTATTTAAAAAAAAATTGCAAAAATTAGCGGTTTTTAGACGAGACTTTACACTTTGACACCCCATGGAGTAGATCCATGGTTCAAAAAATGTTCGTGCAAGAATTGTTTTGTTTGGTCTTATGCAGAATTTCCTTACAATTTTTTATGTAAGCTTAATTTATTTTCCCTTTTATAAAATGGACAAAGCCCTATTTTAGCACAGAGTTTCATGCTGGTATTATTAACTCATTTGTAGTACTTTTTACTCATTTACTTTGTAGTACTCACTTACTAATACATCAGCAGTACTTTGACCCCAAGTTTCTGGAACCAAGGTTTCATGCTCTAGTGGCTACCCAAATCTGCCCTACTCTGCCACGAAAGACGGTCATTCAGTATGGTTAAAATTTAACTGAGCTTTTTTCTGTGTTACGAAGAGAAAAAGTAAAAAGTGTGTGGTTTTTAATAGACGTTTATGTTGCAATTTAAATATTATCATCACGCATAGAGTAGTTTAGTACGAGTATGTAACGTTTAACTGCTTTTCAACCCGTCCCAATATATTTTAACCGTTATTGGCTAGTAGACCCTTGGACACATCATTGTACCACCCCCCCCCCCCTCGTACTAACCACTCTCCTATAAACCTGCCTAAAATAGATTCAATCGTAATACCTCAGTGAATGTGTAAGGCGTTACCTCTACCACTTGTTACCCACTCACTTGCTACTCACCCTTATCTTACGAGCATTTATGTAAATAAGCCATTGTTCGTATGGAGACCATATTTCGGCCATAAAAGGAAAAGGCTGTTGGTGAATTATGACCCGTGGTTTGCGGCTACCTTGCTTTATAGTTGCGGCTGATTTATCACACGATGAAAGTTCACAGCTCCAACAATTTATGGTTGAAATTTAATTCAAATAGTTTATAGCTGATGAAACTATTTTATGTGTTAAATTGCATGTTTAATTGCATTATAACGTAGCTTTAAGGTTAACAATAATTTAATTCTCTTTACAATTTGATATAGTGACAATTTTTCGTTCAACGTGTAAAATAGTATTCACCTAAAAGAAAAAATTATACAGTAATTTTTTAACATACCTTATACCAATTTTATATTTGTTTATGTAATATTTAACTTTGAAAATTGACACCGAATGACGTTTCGATATAAAAGTACTCAATTTCACACTGATTATAGAGTTATGAAATATTTTGAATACAAATTTCTATGACGTGAAAAAAGGTATTAATGTTGTTGGGGAAGATAAAAATATTCGTAACAAAAAGGTTATTTGTAATAAAAACTATGTTGCTAATTTAAACCCTGTAACTATTAATTATGTTAAACACCAATAAGCATGACGTGTGAACGTACTCTGTACGAATTTCCACTATGTACTAAAAATAGACAGTATATATTTTTGGTTTGTAGACAGTCAGAATCTTTTCCATCTGATCAACGACGATAAACATAGGATCGCCAGAAACAACGAGGAGTTTTGGAATTCATTGTATCTAAAAAAATGCGTACATTTTATATTAAAACTACGAATATTGATCAAATAGTTTAATTTTTAAATATTTAATTTCACTCATCTAGACCAACTTGTAACTATCTGCAACATTATTGTAAGCACACACACACAATCCAGATGTTGATATACATACTGGTATACATATTTTGGGGTTTCAATATGCAATGTTTATCATATGTGTGTTTACCCGGGCACATTACCGCGTGTGGTGATTTTCATATTGCCTACCTCATATGGTGGTATTGACGAGGCATCTCTCATTCCGCTCGTATTTACAACTCAAATACAACTCCTCCCTGATTATTCTTCCGCCAAGGTAGTTTCAAATGAACGCCAAAAATGAGGAAATGATACAAAATACAGTGCTTTTGAAAGATATTATGGTAAAATTTCCCAATAGCAGCGATAGCCAAATCAAATTATCGAGCGTATTTCTGAATCCAATACCGTATTTTTGAAAAAGGGTAAAGTGGTTACACTATATTTTGTTGGATATCTATTCATTCTTCATACCTTTTTCCTGCAAGTTTATAACTAAAATGTTTATGAAAATCTTTGGAAAATGTTGATTTTTAAGTTTTTGAAACCGTTTACTAGATAGCATATATAAGTAATACTGTTCTTGTTTGAAATTTACTGTCAATTATTTTCGTTAATTAAGTCATATTTTTTCTTAACCGCTTAGTTTTCAAAATAATTCTTTAAAACAAAATATTATTTTTTTTTACTTTTAAACCTCTTCCTTATTCCAAAACCCGAAGCTCAAAGTGGTGTACTTTTTACTTTCATTACGCGAACTATACCGAAAAGTGTTGAGTCAAAATGCTTTGTCTTGGATGCAGATTAAAAAAACAACAAAAAATGTCTCTTAGAAATTTATATTTAGGTTTAACTAGTTCCAACAGTTATTAAAAAAAAAACAATTAATTCCATAGGTATAAAATTTATATACAATATTAAGGCAAATAGAAGCATGAATTAACATATAACACCTATGGGCTATTGAGGATAATTGATTGACTTTCTACTAATTTCCGAATACACGGCTTAAATAATAGCCAAACCTAATAAAAACTGGGTTTTAATTAATCCAATTTTAATAAGGAAATGCAAATTGAAAACAGGTTTGGATTAAAAACGATACACAGCAGAAAACGCAGTTGTTATGAACGTTGCGATATCCCGCAGGTACAGAATAAGGGGATGTGCAAGGGGGGAGAGGTAAGCAGAGAATTAAAAAGGGGGTTTAAGGAAAATTGTGCAGAGTGTAATATTCAACCTAGCAAAGGTATTCTCATTAAAATTGCAACATAACAACCAGCTTAAGGAACTGTTTTCGTCTATACCACGGAAATGTTGTTTATAATAAATAATAAACATTTCAAATATCCACGTAGCGGAAAACCCACTGGCTTAATAAATTTGCTGTTTCCTCATTGAGTTTTTAATGTAATACGTTCTTGAATTGGTAGCAGTCTTTTTACCTACTTTCTAGATAGATTAATTAAATAAGCAACGATTATGTAGGCGCAATGAGATTCGGGATAGTTATATTTCGGTCAAATGTAAATAGCGTAGTAAGCAGTAGTAAGTACACTGGTTTGTATTGTGCAGTGGAACTTGGATAATTCGAACCTCAAGGGACCAGCTAAAAACTTCGAATTATCCAAAAATTCGAATTAATTAAGTTCTTATAACCAGGGCCGTAAACAATAAAAACACGTTTTAAATTCAAACTATTAACTTTATTGATACTATTTGAACATTAATTTATTGAATAATGCCTATTACAGTAATAGTATACAATAAAAATAACTTGCAATCGCTCAAACGACAACGAAATTATGTACAAAACTAAAATTAACTAACCTTAAAATGTCCTCAGCAATAGCTGAACTGCACGCAAACTTCACACGATTACCAATAGTCCAAAGCAAAATATTAAGCAAAATAGGCCCTATACAGGACAACAGGACAGAAATAGAAAAATATCGGCCAAAGAGAACTAAAAGTTTGGAGACCGTATTGACTGATTGTTAAACAAAAAACATATCAAATCTAATTTATTGTTTTACAAAAAAAGAAGAGATTTTGGCTTGTTTCTTTGAGTTTAATCTCTCGGCCATGATAAATGATTCTAAAACATCTAATGATTTAAACTGTACATCACCGACATCATTTCTGCTCTCCACAAATCGCCGAATTTCTCTCAGGTAGGTCATGGCGTCGGCTGCATTCGGTACTGGCGTTTCTTCTTCATCGGCCGGTGACCCGACGATCTCGTCCCCCGATCCATCGTCATTTTGTTCCTCGGTGTCGAGGACTTCTGCTACGATGTCGGCGTCAGTTAATTCACCGCACACAGCGACATTTTCGTCTACATTAAGAAAGTCCTCGTACAAGATGGTTTGATTGGGTGCCACATCCTCCCAGCCGTCGATTGGTAGAGTTTCGTCCGTTACAGTTTCTTCGGCGCTTTCTTCGTCGGTTTTAACAAAACCTGCCTTTTTGAAGCAGTTTTTTATTGTTTCCGGCTTCACTTTGTCCCACGCTTGTTTGCACATTCGCGATGCTTCTAAAATGTCCAGCTTTATTTTGAGGGCGTTTCCTTCCCCGGACAGGATATTCTCGACCAACAAACCCCTGTAAAAGTGTTTCAAGTTTTTTATGATCCCTTGATCCATGGGCTGGACAACAGAGGTCATGTTGGCTGGGAAAAAAACCACTTTGACATTTTCCATGACAGGTATGGTGTTGTGTGCCGTGCAATTGTCAATGAAAAGGAGAACCTGTCGATTTTCTTTAACAAACTGTTTGTCCAACTTCATTAGCCACTTCGCAAAAAGGTCACTTGTCATCCAAGCCTTAGAACTGCTTACATATTCTACTGGCTTAGACTTGACATTTTTAAAGCAACGAGGATTGGCCGATTTTCCAATCATCAACAAAGGCAGCTTTTGCGAACCATCCATATTAGCACCAACCAATAGCGTGATTCTCTCCTTGCTTAATTTCCCCCCGTGGCACTTTTCGTCCTTAAATGCAAGTGTTTTATCGGGCGTGCATTTGAAAAAAAGACCGGTTTCGTCAACGTTAAAAATATTTCTCGGGTCTCTGTCCTGGATCATCTCTTCCAGATCGTTCTTCCACTGATTAGCTTCCTGCAGGTTCACCGCCCCACTTTCACCACACACTGCCTTAAACAAAATTTTATTGCGCTCCTTAAAACCATCCAGCCACCCAGTGCTAGCTTTAAAGTTTTGCTTCCCTAATTCTTTAGCAAATTGCTCAGCCTTGATTCTAATCAAAGGACCGCTCACAGGAACTTTCTTGTCTCTGGTCTGCTTGAACCATTTAAGCACACAATTGTCGACATCCGGATTTCCTGGCTCTCGCGATCGTTTCCTGTCTTTATCAAATTCCTCTGCACTGCTGAGAATTTTATGTTTATTTTTTAAGTAAGTTGATAAGGTGTTGGGTGGAATTCCAAAGTCTTTCGCGATTTCAGATTTTTTCTTGACTCCTTTTTCCACTTCTTTGATCACAGCGACTTTTTCAGCTAATGTCAAAGTTTTATAAGACCCTGGTTTTTTCGATGAGGTTGATGCCATGATCACTACACAGTTACACTCACTAAAAGTTAATGTATACAGTAGTGCAGTACGGTACGTTAAAACTACAGTACTGTACACGTAATCACTTGAAACTAAAAGTCTAAGACAACAGCAAAACTACGTTAGGTAACGGCCTTCACGCAAACCGATACAGACCACGCACAATGCGACACTGAAAAGAGGTCAGTGGTGGTGGGTGGGAGAGGAGAAAGGGGAAGGGAGTGTTGGGTACAATGACCTGTAGGGCGGTGGCGGGAGGGGAGGTATGAGTCATCAGACTAAACGCAGGCGCGCGAGGGCTGGCACTTGTTCTAACGCAAACATTTCGTCAAATGTGGCTTGGAATATGTTTTTTATTTATTATTTTTGAATATATTTAGAGTAATAATTTAATGATTTGGCACTTAAAAATTCGAATTATCCAAAATAAAATTCGAATTATCCACGTTATTTTAGCATTGTTTTAATACAAAATGCTAGGGACCACGGGAAAAATTCGAATTAAAGAAGATTTCGAATTAAAGAAGTTCGAATTATCCAGGTTCCACTACTAATATTGAACAGCAGTTTAGCTATTTTAAAATCACCAAACTTTACTTTGTACCACGTGTTGGCATAGAAGGAAAGTAGTTCTACTATATATGAGGTTTCAAAAAAAATGTGGATTTACGTCAAAAATAAATTTATCCTCAGTAAGGATAACAATGCACAAACTTTCTGTTTTTAGGGCAAAATCAATCATCATTTTTTCAAACGTGAGCATACCTACATACTAGTTCAGTTTAATTTTTTAGTTGTATAAGAACGTAGTGGAACTTTAATTTGAGTGCTATTAATGTTGAAATTGAAAAAGAAAACAGACACCCAGCTCTCAACCGCTATTAGATAAATACCTGACCTCAAATGGATGTCTTTTTTACCTGAAAAAAGTTTTTTTTTATTAACTATACTCTAGGCAGGCATTTTTTCACATCACTTCAGGCAATACCTAGAGGTTCTGGCATTAAAGCCTGGGTAAATTTCATTGGTGATTGGTGGAATTTGAACCCAGGACCTCAGGGACTGAAGCTCTGCATTCTATCACTATACAAACTTCCTCCTGGATAGATATTGGCTTACATGTTTGTAAAAAAACCTAATAGTACAATAATCAGTGAAATACATTATACTAGAGGACTAGGGACTCGTTCTGATTATAACAAACAATGGGAACTGTTATTCTATGAAATACCTATTTTTAATCCTCTCTATTCAGTACAAGAAAAGAGCTTTGAAGAAAATACCAAATTCTCTTTTGAAAATGTTGACTCATAAGTTTAAGATGTATGTTTGGATAAATCGTCACACGAGATGCTTTGCTGCATAAACTTGTTTAAGCTCAGACAAGTCAAGATTGACTTATCTCTATGTAAATAAACTTCACTAGCGTGACATGGCGAGAAACTGCATAAATGTGCAAGTAAACAGAGAAACTACGGTGATATCTGATACTGAAACGCGAATGTAATTGCATTAAATCATCTACGGTACGTGCAATACTACTAATTTACTTAATTTAGGAATTACTGTAGAACAGCATTAAACAATTAATAAAAAATTTAAACAAACAGTGTTCAATATAGGGGGAAATAGTACATTTTATGAGAAGTAGCAAACTCTTTGATTTGACCGCTCCTATAAGCTGTGATTTCAAAAGCAAATAGCTTTTGTCTTGAAAATATTCCACAAAATGTTAAGGTAAAATATAACACAATCTGATTAGTTAATTTGTATTTTTTATCCTCCTAAGTAGACTATTCGTCCCATGCAGTGCCCAAAGTACACGAGGTGTCCGACTCTTTACCCACCTTGCAATCTTACCATAAATCACATAGGCTACTGTGGGCAACGATATATTGATGAAATAAGTATCTTTGGCTAAAGAAAATCCACACTAATTCCATACACTAGTGGTTTTTTTCTTGTCTGGCATATCAGTTACTTTCTCTAACCACTATTATTGATTATGTGGAAAGTAAAAATATCTTAATGTAAGTGTTTCCCTAACAAGGCATGTTTCCCTAAATTTACAAAATACATTATTTTTTTTAGAAAGGTTAGCTAGGTTAAATGGTATGGTCAGACCCCTCTAAGGTATACAATACTGATTAAGTTTGTGTAACAGAATTTTGATGAATTAGGAATAAAGTGCTCCTTTAAGGCAACTGTATGGAATATTAGATCTGATTTCCATAAAATAATAAGATATATTGCAATGTGTAAATAATTGAAAAATTTCACAATAATTGTTGTAACATTACAAAAATAAAAAAAAAATTAGCTAATGCTTGCTACACATCTGTAGAGAAAACTTGATTAGGAATACGTTATTAACCATCATTTCTAGGATAAAATATTTTTACATGGCTCAGAAAACACTACATTTTCACACTATTTACACGATTGCCACAATATGAATACCACAAAGCAGCGTTTGCTGTGATAAAACCTCAACTTCGGTAGCGCGGCTGCAATATACCAACCTCACTGGGCCATCGTATATGAGCTTCATAGCCAGCTCTTGCGGTGTATTTATGCTCGCTCATATGTAGTTCTGGATATTGCATGTTTTACAGTGTAGTTCCACCATAACTCAGCTGGTTTGTGAATCCTGTTAGCGAAGATTATATTGTGTAGTTCAGATTGCAACATAGGTATAATATTGATTTGTTCGTTTATTTTTGAGAATAATTTTTGTAAAGATACTTAACGTATAGTCTGTAAATAAATGTGGGAATTGACGATTAACATTTAATAATGTCAGGGGAAAAGCGAGATGGTCTAGTGGTAGAGCGCGTGGCTTCGATCCCTAAAGTCCCGAGTTTGAATCCTGACAGAAGCCAGTGGCTTAGATAAGCGTTGATACCTAGACACTCTAGATCTTTCTTGAAGTAATGTGTAAAGTTTTTTTTCGGGGTAAAGCCCGTGGTTTCCCGTCACGTCTTATAGTGTAAAGATAGGGCATAATACGCAAAAAACCCGTGAACTTAGATAATTAATTGTTACGTCACAAAAAAAATTTACTTCAATTGAATAATCACTGTTACATAATTACCAGTAATGAACGTAAAAGTTAACTGAAAATCAAAACGTCTCAAAATACTCAAACTCTTTTCATTACATTTTAGTATTTTATAGGAAAATACACACATGGGTCTAATCATAGTTTCTTAAAACTTTTACTTTGGTTACTTTATGTGCATGTTAATAAAACCCGCTTTTACTAATAATAATGAAAAAAATATTCCTTAGAAAAGGGTAGTAAGATATCGAGTCAAATTCTAGTACCACAGATTTCTTCTTGTGTTAAACCAACTGCCTAGTAAGTAATTAACATCAGAAACAGTAAACCATGCCATCATAGCTTTTATTTAAATCACACGGATGTATTATTTTTCAAAACGTTTGCAATACCAACTACTATATCTTCTTCAATCTGTTGCAGGCGTTCAGGAACGATGGTGATGGTTGGAGGCCAGTACGAGACTCCCAAAACTCCCAACACTCCCAACACTCACAACGTTCCCAGCTGCGCATCCCACCACCGACATCCGCCTACTACATGAACCTGGGAGTCCACAAGAAGCACTTCCTTGCTGACCCGGTCCCATCCAACAAAGTGGAGGTCTTCGCCCCAGCCCCTCCCAGCATTCTCGGCAGCTTCAGTGGGTTCGGACACGACACTGTCAAGTCTCGTCACCCCGTCAAGCACAAGAAACCGTTCAAGGAGTTGCACCAGGCGGAGTCCAGGCCAGGCTATACGTCCTACTCTCCTTTCAGACACTCATTTGCACAACCTTTCCAGCATAATGACAATGTTGGGCAGGCTTACTATTTTGAAGCGTCTCTAAGTCCTCCTCCTTCAAGAGAATCTGGTATTAACCTAGTTCCTCCTCCTAGTTCCAAGGCTATTGCTCCGAATAGTTTCTATTTCCAGCAATATGATCAGACTAGGACAAAAGCTGCTCCGACATTCTCCCCCTATTTGAGGCAAGGTTTGCCTATTTACACGCCTGAGTATTTTAAATCGACAAGTCCTTCTACAGATCCGTATAGGTTCTTTAGTCCGGATCCACCAAGTAAACAACAGTTCAACCCAAGACCGACGGCTAGTCACACGACCAATAGTCATGGAATTCCTCCCGGTATCGACTATTTCGGGAACAACCCTTTTGGTGATATTCATTTGAACACTAATAAACCAGACACTAAAACTCCAGCTAAGGACATTTTTGATCAACTGTCACACCTCGGAAGACCATTTCAATCTTCCACTCTTGAACCACCAAGGGTTTCACAGCCTAACGCATTTTCCAGTGTAGGGCCATTTGACTACTTTTCAACCGGGGGAAATTACGTTCGTCAAACAACACCTAAACCATTTAGACCGTCACCTCTCATAAGTGATTCTTCGCAAAGTACTGAACGTCCACCAGTGTTTGTAACGCCAGGACCCTCTCAACCTTCAAGAGACATTTTTTCAATTCCAGTTACCACTCTTGATGTTCCGTCAAGGGACGATGTATACAAATACTCTTCAGTAGCGAATACTTACCAACCCTTTCGTGAAACGCAGCAGTACCATGAGGAGGTTACGGGTAGACCAACTAAATCCTCTATTCTGACTAACACCTACCAGTCTGTTCCTGAAACTCAACAATACCAAGATGAAGTTACAGTGAAACCATCAACCACTACTTATTATAGAAGGCCTGAAGTCGAAGTGAATACTAATGGAGATAGCATCTTCCATCCAACTCCGTTTTTACCAACTCCTACAACAGATCTAGACCACTACGTGGGTGAACCATCCCCAACAGACGTTATAACACCCTCATCTGAAACTAATGAAGTCAACAACCCCACTAGAACTCGTACCTCTAGACCACGCTATAGAAAGAAGAAACCCTCAAGGAAACCTGAAAATCAGAAGTTTGCTGAAAGTACGACAGAAAACAACGTAGAAACCCCTGTAAATGAATATACTACTTTTAATGAAGAAGCACCTAAAGTTACGACGTATGACACGGATCAAAACACGTACCAGAGCCAACAGTTTTCTGAGCATGAAAATGAAAAAGTCGAAGACAAGCCGAAGAGAAGACGGCCAGCTAGACCGAATAACCATCAGAGTACATCTACTTTAACAAATACCGAAGCAGACGTGCAAGAAATTCCGACAGCATTTAGCACTCTACCGGAAGAAGACATAAAAACATCACCTCCGTCTTCGAGTACAACAGATTTTAACCAGTATCAAAACAGGAGGAGGAAGAAACCCTCAAATAGAGTAAGAGGGGTAGTCCGTCATGGAGCTACGAGAATAACAACTTCAACGGCAGAACCTTCGCAAGACATAGCCAATGATTTCGCCCCAAACACAGAGTACCAATTACAAAAGGAAACAGTGCAGACGGAAAATTACCCAGTAAGTGGCCTATCGTTTAACGAATACGGTCATATAATGCCCCCCAGCACAGAAGAACACAACTCAAACACTTTATATCCAACTCAGCAGGTAGAAGATTTTCAAACAAACTACCACGAAACTGTTTCTCCCACAAGTGAGTCAACAACCACGACAACTACTACAACACCAGAGCCTGAAACTTCTTCGACAACACCAAAGTCAAGAAGAAACAAATACAACTATAACAACACCCGACCTAGGTTCAGCGTAAAGGATTACAGAGAAAGACTGAACAAAGCCACCTCAACCACGACTGAAGCCCCTAAAGGAGAAATATCAGAAAACAACGAATCCCTAAGAATACGACCACCTAGACTGAGAGGCAACATTAGTTACAGGCCGGAAAACCAAGACGACAAAGTTGAAACCAGCACTAGAAGATTCAAACCAAAATACACGGGTCAAAGACACGCTTATAGAACATCGACCACTCAGTCCCCCTTGGTGCAATTGGACACTCCGACAACCACGGAGAGACAAAACACCTTCAAACCGAGCAATATACGTAGACCAGGTTCCAACAAGTACTACAGCAGATACAGGACAAGTAGATATAATAGGACAATATGACCTCACTTTCGGCGTTTTAGAGGCACTTTTAGGGCACTTTTTATAGGGAAAAAATGAGAAAAAAATGGAAGAGCTTTTTTTGGCCACTTTTTTTAAAGACCCAGCTCTCGACCTATACACCCCTATATAAATTTTCTACTTTTTTAATACTGAAAAACACGTCTGGAATATGGCTCATTTTTTTGGCCACCCGGCTCCCGGCTCATGGCGTGCTCCCTTGGACATCCTTAGTGGAAATCCATGAGTTCTGGCTACTTGGAAACCCAAGCCATTTGACATACAACGAATCACCCTTTCTCCTAATTATCTTCTCTACCAAATACATGTCCTTATACTTGGTCTTTAACAACTCCTCTGTATAGAAGCCTCCTCTGATTATATTGCCATTTTCATCTTTCAAGATATATGTTACAGGCTTTGTATTCTTAACTTCTGCTATTGTAAATAGTTCCCCTGTCCAATTTGGAGTATAACCTTTACTAAAAACATGTTTATACTTGGAAATCCTTACGCTATCACCTACCTTATATCTTGGTTTTTTAACTTGCACTACTTTAGAAGTCAACCTCTCATGCACATATTTACTATTCTTAACATTCACTTGGTTAGGCTTCATTCCTATAGATCTATGCACCTTATTATTATATTTTCGAATTAACTTTGGAAGTAAATCCAACCATTTATAACTCCCCTGAGCACTAAATTCTCTATATAACCAATTCTTTAAAGTTCTCTGAAACCTCTCCACAATTGCAGCCTTAGTTGTAGAAAATGTGTGATAGTGATTAATATTTAATTTTTTCATTAGTTTGCTAAAATATTGATTAAAAAATTCTTTTCCATTGTCAGATTGAATGTTTTTAACCCCCTTTGGTAGAATGGTTTTAATGGCTTCTGTAACCACTAACCCTGTCTTATTCTTTAGTGGAGCAGCATAAGCTTTTTTAGAAAATGTATCTATTAAAGTTAAAATATATTTATTGCCAGAATTTTCTCTAGCATAGTTTTGCATATCAACTAAATCTATTTGTATGGTTTCGTTTATACCCAATACTTTAAAAGACCTTCTAATGAAATTCTTTCTTGCAGGCTTATGAAGCTCGTATGCAATTTCATTCATTTTTTATAACATCATCCTTTCCTGTAACTCTAAATACATCACCATTAGCCCCAATCAATAGATTATCTTCCATTCTTTTAAATACATAGTTTTCTGGTATATATGGTCTATTATCTATATACTTAAATCCACTCAAAGATCTGGGGTCAGCAACTAATAAATCAGGATTATATTCCATCAAATTAAAATTTTTTTCTCCATATACAAATTTTGATCCATCGTAATGCATAGATTGTGACATTAGACAAATATCATCCGAATGTTCCCCCTCTGGTAGATTTCTTATGAATTGATTTTTGGCATCCCAACATTTTTCTTTTTTATTATAAGTTATAGTCTGTTCTTTTGTAACACAGTCAGTGTCATCAATGGCAGGTTTAACACGTACTAACCTTTTATTATTAAAATTCCAATAGCCTACTTCCATTTTTGGAACTTGTGAAACATTCACAGCATCTTTACTATCTGTACCTTCCATCAAATCGCTAAGTTTCTGTTTCTTAGCATTCCAAACACCATTCTCTGATTCTAAAAATTCATAATTATTATCGTCTTGTACAAATTTACCATCTTCTTTTCGTATTAAAGTCTGTTGTAAAGTGGGCACATCATTTAAACTTTCACCCTTTTCCACATTAGTAATTTTCCGTTTCTTAGCATTCCAAATACCATTTTCTGATTCTAAAAATTCATAATTATTATTGTCTTGTACAAATTTACCATCTGTTCGTATTAAAGTCTGTTGTAAAGTGGGCACATCATCTAAACTTTCACCCTTTTCCACATTAGTAATTTTCTGTTTTTTAGCATTCCAATTTTTATTCTTAGATTCTAAAAACTCATATTTAGTTTTACCTTGTAAGAAGACATCACCTTTTCTAGTTAATGTCTGACCCAAAGTTGATACATCATCTACAAACTCTCCATCTTTAACATTACCAATTTTACGGTTTAAACAATTCCAACTATCGTCTTGTAAATTCAAAGTAGGTTCATTACTAGCCCTGGGTTCTGCAGGCTTATTATATGGATTATATAAACGATAAAATTTATCTATAAACATATTTTTATTTAATAAATAATACCACTTTCTCTCAATTCCTCAATAATGGAATCTATTTCATTATCCACTCCTGAGTTACCGGCTTGGCGACTTAGCCAAAGAAGTCTTAACCTATCTACAAGCTCATTAGGATCATCCCAATAAATATAGTCTATTTTATTACCAGTCACTTGTCTCAAACCTTCACCAACAGATTTAAAAAGAGGTTTAATTATATTAAGATATTTAGTATGTCTATTACTTGAAATTGGTGCACCATCTTTGTAACTCTTTAAATGTCCATTTGTAGCTTCCAAAATTTCTTTATAATTTTGCAAATCAGCCGGAGTATAATCCTCAGGTTCTTTTAAAGTTAACAATTGCCACAAACCTTTTGTCCCCTTGTAGGTTTTATTTGCAATTGTAACATCATCATTGGCAATGTCAACTTCCTTATTTCCAATAAAAAATTTATTTGCTTCTCGTCTAATACCATATGTAGTGTCTGTCATACTACTTTTACTGAGGTAATTTCCTAAATAGTCTGATGCTAAAAGACCAAAATCTAATTTCTGTGGGGTGGATTGCTGTAATGGTTGCAATCTTGGTATTATTGGTATTCTAGATGGAGTCATTGGGAGAATCTCCATTCGAGGCCTCTCTGTTTTGGCGATTTTTTTTAATTCTTGTAATGGCTCTATTAAAGGTTGGAATGTTTGGAACCTCTCTTCAGCCTCTAGAAACTTGCCACGTTTCAAAGCTCTATATTTCTCTCGTATTTGATTTGCAGAGTCAACCAATTCTTGTTGAATGTTTTTCATCTTTTATTTACATTTTATTTATCTCATTTGACAAAGGATTGTACTCAAACACTTTATCATGTATTATTAAACAATATGCAGATGTATTTGCTGGTACATTTTCTGCAGTTTCAATCTCTAATTTAATATCAACAATTCCTTCCTTCACTGTTTCGTTCTGTCTAGAACAGTCTATTACAATTAGTGGATATTTCTTCATAAACTCAGCCCTACTAATCATAGGATCTGGGATAGTATTATAGTAAGTCTCTCTAAACCTCATAAACATCTCATAAGCTTTAGAGACATCTCCATTTTCAAAGTCGAGATTTAAATCACTATAAGGATAATATTCAGAGTTTAGAAATACTTTGAGATTTTTTAACTTACAGTGATCAAATTCATCAGTTCTTTTTCGTGCACTATTATCCCTAGCTGTTTGGAAACCAAATATAATATACCTAGGCTTCTCCAAACTTGAAGATGTCTTTACTGACCATGTATGTCTTGTAGTATTGGGATATGATGGAAGTTCATGCAACTCTAAGCTTCTAAATGCAATTTGCAAATTTTTATTTTGCAATAACATCTTTTGTAATTGTAACTTCTCCCCATCTGATGGTATTACATGTGGCATCACCCATTGAATTGAGTTAAGTATAATTTTGGGAATTGCATCAGCAGTACCACTGGCTGGAGCACTAGTGGTTGTTAATATACAATTCAAATCATTTTTGGATCTTTTCAACACCAATTCTTGTTTGACATTTACTAATACCTTATTAAAATCCTCAAATACACCCATTAACAGTTCTAATGGCAAACAAGTACTAAACTTGCCACTTTTATGGAACTCTTTTAAATTCGTGTCAGAATCAAATGCCACATTTGACAATTTAGTTGTTTTATTGTAAGAGCTCAATATTTTCATAAGACTAGAAATTCCTGGGTTTCTTACAATATCTATTTCTTTACCTGCGACTTCATATCTAATTTCATCAAATAAGAATGCAAATGCATTATTTATAAAATGACCTTTATCATGATTTTCAATTTCTCCCTTAATATACAGATAACTCCTACATGGGAGAGTTAGCAAATCTTGATTATTAATACATATTCGAATTTCATCAGAATTATTTATTGCTAAAGTGTTATGGGGAACATAGGAGTGATTTGTAATTTTAACTACACTATCGTCGAATTGGGATTTCCCTGTAACATCTAGAAAATCTTCCATTTTTATTAATAGAAAATTTTAACTTTAGTCCTATTGATCGTAGGAACCTAGCATTTTGTATACTTATAGATAAATTCTTATAAATTCTCATATCTTTTTTATATGACAAGTAATTGTAGTTTCTTCTCCATTAAAGTCAATTGCCTTGTCATGCTGATCGGCAAATGTAATACTGACAACATCTAAACTTCTCTTATTTACAGGAAAATATATAATATTTCTTGGAACTTCAATAATTTTGTAGCCAGGAGGAGCTTCTGGATAAAAGCTATGTATGGTGTGTGATTTGTTTCCATTTAAATAGGACCCGTTTGCAATATTACATTTTACTCTAATCACATTTACATTATTAATGTTTATTTTATTTGTAGATTCAAACTGTACACCAGGAGTAGAAACACCTTTAAATCCCAATAAAACAGACCCTAAACATGGTTTTGTAAAATCAAACACGTGGCTAGAAAGTAATGTCGCTTTCATAGTTTTATTATTAGCTGTAAGGAAAAAGTCTGGGATTTGCTTTTGAATTTCCTTTGCAAGCTCAACCACCTCATATGTTCCTTCAGAAATTTCTATTGTAACTGGAGCATTGTGGTCATAATAGAAAACATCATCACCTTCTCTAATGGTTAATTTGTTGCCTTTAAGTTGATTTAATTTTGGAATAAGCCCTTTAAATATAAGTTTGGATTTAGTATTAATTAATGCTTCTCCATTTTTATGTATTATAACTTTAAGTTTACCATCTAATA